CCAGAGCTAATCAACCAGGCTGTTACTGCTGGCTGCACGCAATCCAACATACGAGCCACAGCCCGGCTCGTCAGGTACCGACTTTAGGTGCTTGTCCTAAAGTCAGGTCAGTGTCCCAGGATGTGACCCACACCAGTTCACTAACACCCAGGTACCCATTTTACTGATGGGTGAACATAGACAACCGGTGTAAAGAAACACACCCAATGTTTCTACCCTCACTGGGAATCGAACCCAGACACTCGCCGTGTACAGCGAGAGCTTTAGCCACCAGGCCATGGGGCCAATGGGGTTTAAATCCTATCAACCACACCTAAACAAGGGTCATTAAGGCCACATGTAACCTCTTCACCACCACTCAAGATACTTTGACATCTCACATTGATATTAAATATTTTGCATGCAAGACATTCTTGTTAATACTTATTAATAGTCATAAGGGCTTGTACGTTGGTTTGCGTGCAGCCAGCAGTAACAGCCTGGTTGATCAGGCTCTGATCCACCAGGAGGCCTGGTCACAGACTGGGCCGCGGGGGCATTGACCCCCAGAACTCTCTCCAGGTAAACTCCAGGTAAACATAGGGTAAGTCAATGTAAGGGGCTCTTGATGCTGCCAACGAGGGCTGTTTATGCTTGGGAAGTGCTCTTGATGCTTGTGAGGGTTTTTGATAATTGTGAGGGGGTTCTTGATGATTGTGATGAGCTCTTGATTATTGTGAGGGTGTGCTTGATTCTTGTGAGGGGGAACCTGATGCTTGTGAGGGATTCTTAGGCTTTTGTGAGGGGCTCTTGATTTTTGAGGACTCTTGATACTTTTGAGAGGGCTGGACCTGGAGTTTACCTGGAGAGAGTTCCGGGGGTCAACGCCCCCGCGGCCCGGTCTGTGATCAGGCCTCCTGGTGGATCAGTCTGATCAACCAGGCTGTTGCTGCTGGCTGCACGCAAACCAACGTACGAGCCACAGCCCGGCTGGTCAGGAACCGACTTTAGGTGCTTGTCCAGTGCCAGCTTGAAGACTGCCAGGGGTCTGTTGGTAATCCCCCTTATGTATGCTGGGAGGCAGTTGAACAGTCTCGGGCCCCTGACACTTATTGTATGGTCTCTTAACGTGCTAGTGACACCCCTGCTTTTCATTGGGGGGATGTTGCATCGTCTGCCAAGTCTTTTGCTTTCGTAGTGAGTGATTTTCGTGTGCAAGTTCGGTACTAGTCCCTCTAGGATTTTCCAGGTGTATATAATCATGTATCTCTCCCGCCTGTATTCCAGGGAATACAGGTTTAGGAACCTCAAGCGCTCCCAGTAATTGAGGTGTTTTATCTCCGTTATGCGCGCCGTGAAGGTTCTCTGTACATTTTCTAGGTCAGCAATTTCACCTGCCTTGAAAGGTGCTGTTAGTGTGCAGCAATATTCCAGCCTAGATAGAACAAGTGACCTGAAGAGTGTCACCATGGGCTTGGCTTCCCTAGTTTTGAAGGTTCTCATTATCCATCCTGTCATTTTTCTAGCAGATGCGATTGATACAATATTATGGACCTTGAAGGTGAGATCCTCCGACATAATCACTCCCAGGTCTTTGACGTTGGTGTTTCGCTTCTATTTTGTGGCCAGAATTTGTTTTGTACTCTGATGAAGATTTAATTTCCTCGTGTTTACCATATCTGAGTAATTGAAATTTCTCATCGTTGAACTTCATATTGTTTTCTGCAGCCCACTGAAAGATTTGGTTGATGTCCGCCTGGAGCCTTGCAGTGTCTGCAATGGAAGACACTGTCATGCAGATTCGGGTGTCATCTGCAAAGGAATACACGGTGCTGTGGCTGACATCCTTGTCTATGTCGGATATGAGGATGAGGAACAAGATGGTTGCGAGTACTGTGCCTTGTGGAACAGAGCTTTTCAGCGTGCCTGCCTCAGACTTGACTCTGTTAACGACTACTCTCTGTGTTCTGTTAGTGAGGAAATTATAGATCCATCGACCGACTTTTCCTGTTATTCCTTTAGCACGCATTTTGTGCGCTATTACGCCATGGTCACACTTGTCGAAGGCTTTTGCAAAGTCTGTATATATTACATCTGCATTCTTTTTATCTTCTAGTGCATTTAGGACCTTGTCGTAGTGATCCAATAGTTGAGACAGACAGGAGCGACCTGTTCTAAACCCATGTTGCCCTGGGTTGTGTAACTGATGGGTTTCTAGATGGGTGGTGATCTTGCTTCTTAGGACCCTTTCAAAGATTTTTATGATATGGGATGTTAGTGCTATCGGTCTGTAGTTCTTTGCTGTTGCTTTACTGCCCCCTTTGTGGAGTGGGGCTATGTCTGTTGTTTTTAGTAACTGTGGGACGACCCCCGTGTCCATGCTCCCTCTCCATAGGATGGAAAAGGCTCGTGATAGGGGCTTCTTGCAGTTCTTGATGAACACGGAGTTCCATGAGTCTGGCCCTGGGGCAAAGTGCATGGGCATGTCATTTATCGCCTGTTCGAAGTCATTTGGCGTCAGGATAACATCGGATAGGCTTGTGTTAACCAAATTTTGTGGCTCTCTCATAAAAAATTCATTTTGATCTTCGACTCTCAGTCTGGTTAGCGGCTTGCTAAAAACTGAGTCATATTGGGACTTGAGTAGCTCACTCATTTCCTTGCTGTCATCTGTGTAGGACCCATCTTGTTTAAGTAGGGGCCCAATACTGGACGTTGTTCTCGACTTTGATTTGGCATAGGAGAAGAAATACTTTGGGTTTCTTTCGATTTCATTTATGGATTTTAGTTCTTCCCGCGATTCCTGACTCCTATAAGATTCCTTTAGCTTAAGTTCAATGCTTGCTATTTCTCTGACCAGTGTCTTCCAACGCATTTCAGATATATTGACCTCTTTTAGCCGCTCTGTTATTCTTTTCCGTCGCCTGTAAAGGGAGCGCCTGTCTCTTTCTATTTTACATCTACTCCTCCTTTTTCTTAGAGGAATAAGCCTTGTGCATACATCGAGTGCCACCAAGTTAATCTGTTCTAGGCATAAGTTGGGGTCTGTGTTGCTTAGTATATCTTCCCAGCTTATATCGGTTAGGACTTGGTTTACTTGGTCCCACTTTATGTTTTTGTTAGTTAGTTAGTTTAATATGTTTATTATGCACCCCATACCCATCCTGTGGGCGGTAGTCAAAAGATTACAGAGGTACATAATTGGTCCAGGGACTGGACTCCAAAGTTCTGATAGCTGAGCAAGTTACAGAGGTAATGAACTCACAATTTACAAAGGTAATGAACTCACAATTTACAAAGGTAATGAACCCACAATTTACAAAGGTAATGAACTCCAGGTAAGTCTGGTCACAATCATGACAAGTTACAAAGGTATTTACAGATTACAGAGGTACGTAATGGGTCCAGGGACTGGGCCCCCAAAGTTTTGATAGCTGAACTAGGTACAAAGGTAATGAGCTCACAAGTTACAAAGGTAATGAATTCTGTAGAATGGTTACTTACGTTTATACTTTGGCTACAATCATGAACAAATTATAGAGTAATGAGCAATTCACACTTCCACACCCGGTCACAACTGTAATGAGTTATTGGTGCAAATATTGATTGTTGAGTCACACACACACACACACACACACACACACACACACACACGTCTGGGGCTCCACGCATACATGTCTGAACCTCAATTATGTTGTGATCTGAGTATATTGTTTTTGATATGGTGACATTTCTTATCAGATCATCATTGTTAGTGAAGATGAGGTCTAGTGTATTCTCCAGTCTAGCAGTCTAGTAGGCTATATTATTTGCTGGTTTAAATTGAAATTTGTGCAGAGATTTAAAAGCTCGTGTGAGTGTGAGTTTTCATCAGAGCTGCCTCCTGGTGTTATTACTGCAACAATATTATTTGCTATATTCCTCCATTTTAGGTGCCTTAAGTTGAAATCCCCCAGGAGCAAGATGTTGGGTGCAGGAGCTGGAAGATTTTCCAGACAGTGGTCAATTTTTAACAGCTGTTCCTGGAATTGCTGGGATGTTGCATCCGGAGGCTTGTAGACTACCACAATGACGGTTTTGGTTCTCGACCTTTACTGCTAAAACTTCCACTACATCATTTGAGGCATTTAGCAGTTCTGTGCAAACAAGTGACTGCAATGTACAGGCCAACCCCCCCCCCCTTTTGCCTGTTCACTCTTGATGATTCTGAGGGTGATCTGCTTTGTGAGGGCTCTTGATGCTTGTGAAGATTATGAGGTTTTGCAAGGGTATCTTGATGCTTGTGAAAGGGGCTCTTGATTTTAGGGACCCTTGATGCTTTTGTGAGGGGGCCCTCTTGATGCTCGTGAAGGTACTCTTGATACAAGGAATTAAACCTGTCCTGTGTATCGATTATTATTATTATAATCAAGGGGGAGCGCTAAACCCCTGTGTATCGAACCTGATTACCTCGTTATCCTCAGGCACTGCATAACCTTTATGGGTTTAGCGCTTTCCCTAAACATAGCAATAATAGTGTTAAGGATAAGAACAGCAGTTATTAAGAAATCAAAATAACAGATGCCTCGTGTACTCACCTATTTGTGGTTGCAGGGGTCGAGTCACAGCTCTTGGCTCCGCCTATTCGCTCGTTTCATTAGACATTCATGTACTATTTATTTAACGTAATGCCAACACAGAGTAATTTACATTATATTTACCTTCTTATATTACTTATAGTATTGATTCATTAATTTTATACATTTTACTAGAAGTAAAATATTGGACCGGAAATGTTGCAAACATGAATGATCTTTTTATATATATGAATATGTCTTGATGAATTTGATTTATTCTAGATATTAATCAAAGAAATTGATTGCCATAAAATTATGTATATATATTTAGGATGTACAAATAAATATTAGTTTGACGTAGGAAATATTAGTGATGATGAGAAGAGCCAATCAGCGCGCAGCTGTGAAGTTTAAATCTCCAGAGTGAAGATCAGAGTGACGGTGGCGGTGCTTGTGCTTTACCAGGTAATATATTGTCTTTTATCTCCTTTCCCTTTACTCTGTTGGTGTCACGGGAGCTGCCCCTGCCGCTGCTGTACCCTGCCACACCTCCTGCGGGTTATAGCACGTTGGGACCACTACAAGGGGAGAATCTGCCAGAGTTTGTGTGGTGTTGTCTTGATGCCAGTGTTATTTAAATTTCAGGTCTCCTATTTATAAGAGGTGCCTGGATGATTGTGAAGGGCTCTTGATTAGTCTTGATGCCAGTGTAATAGTGATGTTAGTAGTAATAGTAAGTTTATTCAGGTACAGGTACACACAAATAGTTATATAAATTATCATAGAGTAGCAGGGGTCCTTTTAATATTTAAACCTTGATCACTACTAATATTACTACTGTTAATATTACTACTACTGTTAATATTACTACTACTGTTAATATTACTACTACTGTTAATATTACTACTACTGTTAATATTACTACTACTGTTAATATTACTACTACTGTTAATATTACTACTACTGTTAATATTACTACTACTGTTAAGTTACTACTACCCGTTAATATTACTACTACTGTTAATTTACTATACTGTTATATTACTACTACTGTTAATATTACTACTACTGTTAATATTACTACTACTGTTAATACTACTACTGTTAATATTACTACTACTGTTAATATTACTACTACTGTTAATATTACTACTACTGTTAATATTACTACTACTGTTAATATTACTACTGCTGTTAATATTACTACTGCTAGTATTACTACTGCTGTTAATATTACTACTGCTGTTAATATTACTACTACTGTTAATATTACTACTGCTGTTAATATTACTACTGCTGCTAGTATTACTACTGCTGCTAGTATTACTACTGCTGTTAGTATTACTACTGCTGCTAGTATTACTACTGCTGCTAGTATTACTACTGCTGCTAGTATTACTACTGCTGCTAGTATTACTACTGCTGCTAGTATTACTACTGCTGCTAGTATTACTACTACTGTTAATATTACTATTATTTCTATCACTATTACTACTACTGCTATTATAATTATAGCTCCTAGGGCTCTTGAAAGTTTAAAGGTAAAACTAGTAGACCTCTAGTGTAGGTTGAGGTACCAGGAGCTATAATTATATGATGCAAGGAATTCCTGTTGTAAGATGTCATTTAAATTCCAGGTGGTCTATTTATTATGTCTTTACTTCCTTCAGTGAGATACCTTGATTGTGAAGGGTGGCTCTTGATTAGAGGTATTGGAACAACCTACATAAGAGAATCAACCCTGACTGCCACACGTGACCCAGGCCAGTCTTAGTATAAATCATTTGAGGCAGAACTTAAAAAAAAATGGCCATAATAAAAGCCACAGAAGAAAAAAGAATGTGATTTCTTGTATAGTTAATATTAGTGTTTTATATCCACCTGATTTCTACTTTTTTTTTAATGCTCGTGTAGATTTTGGTCATACCTTTTAATTTAATCTTTATTACTATTATTTCTTATTGTCCTGTAATTAATTTTCATTTCGTTTACTCAGTTTTCTGTTTTTGTTAATGACCATGATTATTTTATACTGTAAGTCTGCTAAAAGTTACATATTACAAGAACCCCAGTGGAAATAAGTCCCTTAGACTTTTTGGGTTATCCTGAGTAATTTGCACGTATTAGGCAAAAGAATTGTAATCTAGAATTTGTACTTAATTAAACTTCTGTTAAAGTATACAGTGGTTAGATGGTGGCATGGGTTTGAATCTATGGATCGTACTGATGGAAATAAGTCACTTTGAATTTTTTGGGTTATCCTAGGTAATTTACATTATTGCTGTGTATGATGATTATACTTGTTATACTGATGATTATACCTATGCTAAGCATTTTATGCATACTAAAATTAAATCTTATAACCAGATTTTAAAACTACTTTTACAATACATAGTTAAGTTTAATTGCTTCAATGCTAAGATTGAACATCAAAATGGTATACAATACCGACAGGTTGTTAGGTAAGACACATATGCAACAGTTAGACAACTTTATTCCGAAACGTTTCCCCTACACAGTAGGCTTCTTCAGTCGAATACAGAAAGTAGGCAGGAACAGTAGAGATGTGAAGACGATGTAATCAGTCCATCACCCTTGTAGTCGTAGAATTTGAGGTTGTCAGTCCCTCGGCCTGGAGAAGTTCAGTTCCATAGTCAGGAACTATCTGAAGATCAAGCGACAGTGCAGAGACTTAAATACTGTCGGAAGGAGAGGTGCATAATAGTAGTAGTAGTAGTGAGAATGTAGCCACTGAGAGTTTTATGTCCCCCTCAGATCAACACTTCTCACTTGAAAAAACTTGTCCAAGGTGTTTTCTGTACCAAGATGCCATGTTTTTGCAGTGTTGACAAGATGACTCAAAATGGTATACAATACCGACAGGTTGTTAGGTAAGACACATAGCAACAGTTAGACAACTTTATTCCAAAACGTTTCGCCTACACAGTAGGCTTCTTCAGTCGAATACAGAAAGTAGGCAGACACTGCAACACATGGCATCTTGGTACAGAAAACACCTTAGACAAGCTTTTCCAAGTGAGAAATGTTGGATCTGAGAGGGGCATGACCTCTCAGTGGCTACATTCTCTATACTACTACTACTACTACTATACTACTACTACTACTACTACTAATACTAATAAAACTACTAAATACTACTACTACTTACTACTACTACTACTTCTACTTATACTTATACTATACTACTACTACTACTACTTTTACTACTACTACTACTATACTACTATACTACTACTACTCTACTATACTACTACTACTATACTACTACCACTACCACCACCACCACCCACCACCACCACCACCCCCCCACCACCACCACCACCACCACCACCACCACCACCACCAACACCACCACCACCACCACACCAACACCACCACCACCACCACCCCACCACCACCACCACCACCACCACCACCACCACCACCACCACCACCACCCACCACCACCACCACCACCACCACCACCACCACCACCACACCACCACCCACCACCACCACCACCACCACCACCACACCACCACCACCACCACCACCACCACCCACCACCACCACCACCACCACCACCCCCAACCCCCACCACCACCACCACCACCACCACCACCACCCCACCACCACCACCACCACCACCACCACCACCACCCACCACCAACCACCACCACCCCACCACCCACCACCACCACCACCACCACCACCACCACCCACCACCACCCCCACCACCACCACCAACCACCACCACACCACACACCACCACCACCAACCACCACCACCACCACCACCCACCACCACCACCACCACCACCACCACCACCACCACCACCACCACCACCACCACCACCAAACCCCCACCCCCACCACCACCACCACCACCACCCCCCACCACCACCACCACCACCACCACCACCCCCACCACCACCACCACCACCACCACCACCACCACCACCACACCACCACCACCACCAACCCACCACCACCCACCACCACCACCACCACCACCACCACACCACCACCACCACCACCACCACCCCCACCACCACCACCACCACCACCACCACCACCCCCCACCACACCACCACCACCACCACCAACCACCCCACCACCACCACACCCCCACCACCACCACCACCACCACCACCCCCCCACCACCACCACCACCACCACCACCACCACCACCACCACCACCCCCACCACCCCACCACCACCCCACCACCACCACCACCACCCCACCACCCCAACCCCACCCACCAACCACCACCACCCCACCACCACCCCCACCCCACCCACCACCCACCCACCACCACCACCACCACCACCACCACCACCACCCCCCCACCCCCCCCGACGACAGTATTTAAGTCTCTGCACTGTCGCTTGATCTTCAGATAGTTCCTGACTATGGAACTGAACTTCTCCAGGCCGAGGGACTGACAACCTCAAATTCTACGACTACAAGGGTGATGGACTGATTACATCGTCTTCACATCTCTGCTGTTCCTGCCTACTTTCTGTATTCGACTGAAGAAGCCTACTGTGTAGGCGAAACGTTTTGGAATAAAGTTGTCTAACTGTTGCATATGTGTCTTACCTAACAATGCTAAGATTATTGTAAAAGGTTGATTGCTTAATGCCAAGTTTAATAAATTGTACTTTGAGTGATGTTTGTGGGACGTTGAGACTTGGCTCGTAGCCCCGCCTCTGAGTCTACCTTGATCAGCATCCCTGATTTCTGGTCTCCAGTTCTTAATAGTTCTTGGTCTTATTAATTTTCCTTTTATATCCATGGGGAAGTGGAATAAGAATCTTTCCTCCGTAAGCCATGCGTGTTGTAAAAGTCAACTAAAATGCCGGGAACAATGGGCTAGTAACCCCTTTTCCTGTAAAGATTACTAAAAAGAATAAGAAGAAGAAAATTGTCAAAGTGGGAAGTCTGAATGTGCGTGGATGTTGTGCAGATGATAAGAAAGAGATGATTGTGGATGTTATGAATGAGAAGAAGCTGGATGTCCTGGCTTTAAGTGAAACAAAGCTGAAGGGGGTGGGAGAGTTTCAGTGGAGAGGAATAAATGGGATTAGGTCAGGGGTTTTCAAATAGAGTTAGAGCTAAAGAAGGAGTAGCAATAATGTTGAAGGATAAGCTATGGCAGGAAAAGAGGACTATAAATGTATTAATTAAGGATTATGTGGAGTAAAATAAAAGGATGTGGAAAAGTGGGTTATAATAAGCGTGTATGCACCTGGAGAAGAGAGAAGTGTAGAGGAGAGAGAGGAAAATTTTGGGAAATGTTGAGTGAATGCGGGGGGGAGTTTTTGAATCAAGTGTGAGGTAATGGTGGTTGGGGATTTTAATGCTAAAGTGGGGTAAAAATGTTATGGAGGGAGTAGTAGGTAAATTTGGGGGTGCCAGGGGAAAATGTAAATGGGGAGCCTTTAATTGACTATGTGTTAGAAAGAAATTTGGTAATAGTAATACATATTTTATGAAAAAGAGGATAAAAAATATACAAGGTATGATGTAGACGTAATGAAATTTAGTTTATTAGATTATGTATTGGTGGATAAAAGGTTGATGGGTAGGCTCCAGGATGTACATGTTTTATAGAGGGGCAACTGATATATCGGATCATTATTTGTTGAAAGCTACAGTTAGAGTAAGAGGTAGAGGGGGAAAAGAGGAAGGTGGCAACAACAAGTAAGAGGGAAAGTGAAAGTGTATAAACTAAGGGAGGGGGAAGTTCGGGTGAGATATAAGCGACTTTTTGGCAGAAAGGTGGGCTAGTGCAAAGATGAGTAGTGGGGGGGTTGAAGAGGGTTGGAATAGTTTTAAAAATGCAGTATTAGAATGTGGGGCAGAAGTTTGTGGTTATAGGAGGGTGGGGGCAGGAGGAAAGAGGAGTGATTGGTGGAATGATGAAGTAAAGGGTGTGATAAAAGAAAAAAAAGGTAGCTTATGAGAGGTTTTTACAAAGCAGAAGTGTTATAAGAAGAGCAGAGTTAATGGAGAGTAAAAGAAAGGTAAAGAGAGTGGTGAGAGAGTGCAAAAGGAGAGCAGATGATAGAGTGGGAGAGGCACTGTCAAGAAATTTTAATGAAAAAAAGAAAAAAAATTTTTTGGAAGTGAGTTAAACAAGTTAAGAAAGCCTAGGGAAAATATGGATTTGTCAGTTAAAAAACAGAGTAGGGGATTTTGTAGATGGGGAGATGGAGGTATTGGGTAGATGGCGAGAATATTTTGAGGAACTTTTAAATGTTAAGGAAGAAAGGGAGGCAGTAATTTCATGCACTGGTCAGGGAGGTATACCATCTTTTAGGAGTGAAGAAGAGCAGAATGTAAGTGTGGGGGAGGTACGTGAGGCATTACGTAAAATGAAAGGGGGGTTAAAGCAGCTGGAACTGATGGGATCATGACAGAAATGTTAAAAGCAGGGGGGGATATAGTGTTGGAGTGGTTGGTACTTTTGTTTAATAAATGTATGAAAGAGGGAAGGTACCTAGGGATTGGCAGAGAGCATGTATAGTCCCTTTATATAAAGGGAAAGGGGACAAAAGGACTGTAAAATTATAGAGGAATAGCTTACTGAGTATACCAGGAAAAGTGTACGGTAGGGGTTATAATTGAAAGAATTGAGGTAAGACAGAATGTAGGATTGCGGATGAGCAAGGCAGGTTTTAGAGTGGGTAGGGATGTGTAGATCAGGTGTTTACATTGAAGCATATATGTGAACAGTATTTAGATAAAGATAGGGAAGTTTTTATTGCATTTATGGATTTAGAAAAGGCATATGATAGAGTGGATAGAGGGAGCAATGTGGCAGATGTTGCAAGTATATGGAATAGGTGGTAAGTTATTAAATGCTGTAAAGAGTTTTATGAGGATAGTGAGGCTCAGGTTAGGGTGTGTAGAAGAGAGGGAGACTACTTCCGGTAAAAGTAGGTCTTAGACAGGGATGTGTAATGTCACCATGGTTGTTTAATATATTTATAGATGGGGTTGTAAAGGAAGTAAATGCTAGGGTGTTTGGGAGAGGGGTGGTGGATTAAATTATGGGGAATCAAATTCAAAATGGGAATTGACACAGTTACTTTTTGCTGATGATACTGTGCTTATGGGAGATTCTAAAGAAAAATTGCAAAGGTTAGTGGATGAGTTTGGGAATGTGTGTAAAGGTAGAAGTTGAAAGTGAACATAGAAAAGAGTAAGGTGATGAGGGTGTCAAATGATTTAGATAAAGAAAAATTGATATCAAATTGGGGGGAGGAGTATGGAAGAAGTGAATGTTTCAGATACTTGGAGTTGAGTGTCGGCGGATGGATTTATGAAGGATGAGGTTAATCATAGAATGATGAGGGAAAAAAGGTGAGTGGTGCGTTGAGGTATATGTGGAGTCAAAAAACGTTATCTATGGAGGCAAAGAAGGAATGTATGAAAGTATAGTAGTACCAACACTCTTATATGGGTGTGAAGCTTGGTGTAAATGCAGCAGCGAGGAGCGGTGAGCAGCGTAGAATTCCTTTTAAGGCAATGTCTGTGGTGTAAATATTATGCAGAAAATTCGGAGTGTGAAATTAGGATAAGGTGTTGGAGTTTATATAAAATATTAGTCAGAGGCAGAAAGGGGTTGTGAGGTGGTTTGGTCATTTAGATGAGAATGGAATCACTAGTAGAAATGACATGAAATGCATATAAAATCTATTTGGGGAAGGAAGCGGGGTAGGGGTCGTCCTCGAAAGGGTTGGAGACGAGGGGGTTTAAAGGAGGTTTTGTGGGTTTAAAGGGCTTGGACTTCCAGCAAGCTGTGCGTGAGCGTTTAGATATATGTATGGATACACATGTACTTGGGACCTGAACGATCTGTTGAGTAGTGAGCAGGGTAATATTATAGTGATAGATTACAGACAACCGGTTTATTTACATATAAGTCGGACTTTGAGTCCTGGACAATGCGGAAGTACCTGCCTGCCATCTTGTAGGAAGGAGGAGTTTGGCGATATTGCCCCAAGTTTAGGAGGAATGGTGTGGTATCTTATATGTTTATGCTTCTGACTGTTGTATTCTGAGCAACCTCTGCAATAATACAGTGTGATAATGTGCGAGTTGTGGTCAAAGTGTGAAGATGATGATGAAAGTATTTCTTTTTGGGCGATTTTCTTTCTTTTTTTGGGGCACCCTGCCCCTCGTGGGAGACGGCCCGATTGTTGAAAAAAAAAAAAAAAAAATAAAATCAGTTCTTGCTTACAAAAATGGAAATGTCATTACTTTTTTTTTCTTTACTATCATTATGCTTCTTAAAATAAGTGTGCTTACTGACTGATAATGTGCTCACTTAGTCATTCAGAGTGCCCATTTTCTCTTGGCTTTGCATAAGACTTATCAAGTTGAAAATCTGCCACACCTTATTGCTCATGCTCATTGGATTTCCTACACCCAAATTTAAATGGTTAAAGAAAAGGGCTGGTGTTGGGTGATCACATGAATTTGTATTGCATATACAGTGGACCCCCGCTTAACGATCACCTCCCAATGCGACCAATTATGTAAGTGTATTTATGTAAGTGCATTTGTACGTGTATGTTTGGGGGTCTGAAATGGACTAATCTACTTCACAATATTCCTTATGGGAACAAATTCGGTCAGTACTGGCACCTGAACATACTTCTGGAACGAAAAAATATCGTTAACCGGGGGGTCCACTGTACTAGTGAATTTCTGATAGAAATAGGGTTGCTGCATAAATGGAGATTTATATTGAGGAATGTGTACTATAATATCCTTTTCATTGATTTTCAGAGAAACTGCATTCATTTAAACTTGCCTACAGACTAGTGTCTAGTACTGGAAATGCAGACAAACAAACAAAACCCAGGTGTGACAAATAGTGGTGCACCACGAGCACCACTGAAAGAAACTACCTCGTCCAACGTTGTAAATGACGAGGAAAAGGGTCGGAGAGACGGTAACGGCTGTACAGAGTGAGTGGCAGTTATGTACAGTAGTTGTATTCCCTAGCAAGAATAGTACTGTAAATTAATATTTTTTTCTTAATCTTGGATGTAGTATTGCTGGTTCAGTACTGTACTAAACTATACCTGTACTTTCTTTTTAAATTTGATAAATGTTTACTTCTTTTTCAGAGAAAAGGATAAAACATGGTCACTTGACAATTTTGAGATTGGGAGGCCATTGGGTAAGGGCAAGTTTGGTAATGTTTACTTGGCTCGTGAAAAGTCTAGCAAATTCATAATAGCGCTCAAAGTTTTATTCAAATCACAGTTGCAGAAGGCACAAGTTGAACATCAATTAAGAAGAGAAATTGAGATCCAAGCTCATCTCAGGTGAGTTGTAACAGATAGCTAAATTGGTATTATTAGTATTGTCCTGGATTTTAATAATGTAAGGCTTTTGATTTACTTAAGTTCCAGGATATATGCTGAACTTTGTGCTATTCTAAGAGTTATTATACTGTGCTGTTTATGTATAGGTTTCATATTAGTAGTTAAGGGAGCAGAACTGTGCTTGTACTTTAATGTCCATCTAAGCAATTTCCCTTCATAAATGTTATCCTACTTTTAAACACTCAGAACAAAAACTGTCTTCACTGACCTCAGTCTAATACTCTTGCATGCCTGCTAATGGCTCTTGTTCCATACTTCTTAAACCTTCCTTTATACCTTCCCTCCATTCCATCCAGTATTTGTGAGATGAATAACTGCAGATTCTAGACAGCATTCTCCCACGTATTCTAGTACACGTGCTTATTTAAAGTCTGAGTGTGTGTGTTCGAGTGAACAACATGTGGGATCACCCCTATTCCCCACAAGGGATATTGTAAACTCTTGCTGTAACTGTTCTTGATAGGTTTGGGTGCCCTAGTGAATTAAGTTTTCCTGGTAGGAATCGTAATGCATTCCAGAATAAAGGGGTGATGGACATTGTCTATCTAGAGGGTAGAATCAGTTGGCAATAAATGTTGGTGTAATTTCTGATCTTGGAAAAGATAAGGGCTTTGATTTTATAGGAGAGGATGTATATGGAAACATCAAGGCAGAAAAGTTCTTTAAGTGTGCTTGTTCATCAAGCTTTGTAACAGTAAGTAGCTTCTTGATGAATAAACATAAAAAGAGCTTTTTCTGCCTTGAAATTTCCCCATACACATCATCCTCTCCTGCAAAATCAAAACCCTATTAGGAACAGTCATATTTAAGGTCTATAGTATCCTATGTGAAAAATGCAGTTATGTTTATAGAGCTAGCCCTCCACTTTAGTGAGCTTTGAACATTTCCAAATGCCCAGCCACATTCACATATATACAATATTTTACATGTATGTACAATGTTTTACAATGTTTTCATGTGTTTTATGATTGTTCGTGGTTCAATTGGTTAAGGAAGCAGTATTGTTAGGCTAAGTAAATACTATTATTATATTTCCCTACAATATATTTGCGCATCAAAACATTCACGAATGCTACAGTACAGTAGTATTGTATTTCCCTACATGATATTTGTGCACCTAACATTCACAAATTTTCAAGATACGTTAGATTCTTGATCCCCTAACCCTTGAGAATGTGGAGGGCCTTCTGTATAGGAGAGTCAGATTTGAACATGTGATTACAAAAACATAAACACATGCAGAATAGATGACATAGAATGCATGTGTGGTAAATTAAACATGTGCACATCATGTAAAATTTAGGTAAGTACATCTACTATACCAGGAGAATGAGGAGGAGATGGCTGATCAAAATCTGCAGCTAATGTTATCATAAATACTAATGCACAAGACAAGACTTTGACATTTTTCTAAAATATGAAGATTTTGGAACACATGAAGCGATTACTTTCTATCACTACGTATATTGGTATTCTGTATTTAATAAATGCTTGTAGGTGAAATATCTTTTAATAGGGTCTCCTTTTGCTATAAATGCCTTTACAGTATTTACCCTGAATACTGATTGTCAATGAATATTGATTCTGTATAGCTCACAGGAAGTGATAGTTCTGAAGTTATAAGTACATGTAGTCCCTTCATTCAGAAGGGCAAGTTTGTGCTCACCAGTAATTAATTGGCACCTGAGCCATACTCTTAAAATTTGACGTTTAATCTATGGTACAGTATATAGTAATAATGTTGGCAACAATTTTTTTTTTTTTCATCCATAGCAAAATTTTCCATATTTTCCAGGCACCCGAATATTTTGCGTCTTTATGGTTACTTCCATGATGATGTCCGTGTGTACCTGATCTTGGAATTTGCACCTCGTGGAGAATTGTATAAGGAAATGCAAGCACAGCCTCATGGCCATTTTGATGAGAAAAGATCAGCCAAGTATATTTTGCAACTTGCAAGTGCACTGAAGTAAGCTAAAATTCTCTGACAAGTACAGTATAATTTAGAACACCTGCTTTCTAGGAAGAGAGAGAAAAGTGTTTTTTTTTTTTTTTTTTTTTTTTTTTTTTTTTTTTTTTTTTTTTTTTTTTTTTTTTTTTAAATTAGGACACGTCGACCAGCACAAATAAGATGAAACGGTGTATAGTTGGCGATATTGTAACCCCTATATCTGAAGCAGAGGGTGATCAAAGTGGTTCTGGTGCAGGTCCACCATCACAAATCCGGCAATCAGTTACCCGGTTCCATCAGTTATTTGGCACTAATTTCGGCTAGCATAATTTCAAATTTCCAGGGTCACCACATCAACCTGCTGGTACTGTTTGGTGGCACTACAGGTCCCATCACTAATCTGGCATCATTGGGACCTGCAGTGTGCCGGATTAGCGAGTTTGCCGGATTAGAGTGATTAGGTTAGAATACACTTAACCCTTTGAGGGTTTTGGTCGTACTAGTACATTTTACGCGTAGGGGTTTTTGACGTACTAGTACTCATAAATTCTAGCGGCCTCAAATCTAGTGGGAGAAAGCTGGTAGGCCTTCATATGAAAGAATGGGTCTATGTGGTCAGTGTGCACTGTCTAAAAAAAATCCTGCAGCACACAGTGCATAATGAGAAAAAAAAAACTTTGACCATTTTTTTTTAATAAATCAGCGACTTTGCAGTGTATTTTCGTATGGTATTTATTGTTGTATTCTAGTTTTCTTGGTCTCGTTTTATAGAATGGAAGACATATTACAGAAATTGAGATGATTTTGACTGGTTTTACAATGAAAGGTGCCTTGAAATTGAGCTCAAAGTAGCAGAAATGTTCGATTTTTACCAAACTTCAAAAGTAAACAAATGGTGCAAAGCGTGCAATACACGTCAACTGGTGAGTCTAATATTCTTTTACAAGTGCACCAATAATATTTATACCATTTTTTACACTAATGCAGTAGTCTGCATAACAGTAAATCTTATATTTTTTGTGAGAATAAAAATTCAAAGTGGAAAGCGAAAGAATATAAGAGGGGCCTTGAGACGTGACTAATGACTAGAGGAAATGCCATTTTAGTGCCAGGAATGTCTTTCTTGTTTATTCTGGACCCTATTCGGAAATTGGCATCTTTTGAAATTTGTGTGAAATTGGCAAAATTGCTAAATTCTGACCACTGTACTGGATAGTTGAATTTATAAATGGGTGGTTTCTTGCACCCATTCGATAGAAAAAATGGAGTTCTAGCGAAATATGCATGGTTTTTTGTCGACTAGTACAGTGAAATTGGCCGAAAATGGGGCTCAAAGTGGGCAATATCGCCGATGCGTAAACATCGCCGAGACCGCTAACTTTGCGAGAGCATAATTCCGTAAGTTTTCTATCAAATTTCAAACTTTTGGTGTCTTTATGATCGGGAAAAGATTCCCTATCTTTTCATAAGAGAAAATAATTTTTTTTTTTTTTAAATTTGGCCGACCCTGAGAACGAGTTTCGGAGAGGGCCTGTCGACCCTCAAAGGGTTAATTAACCTATCAATAGAGACTTTCTGGTACATCTTCCTCATTTTCATCACTGCTTTCTCCTCCACTTGTCTGCTGCTGTGGATTTACAACCATCTGCACAATTTCTGAGTCAGTATAATGATAAAATTTGAAATTATGCTAGCCTTGCTGGATTACTGATGGAACCAGATTACTGATGGCAGACCTGTGCTTGCTACACAAGTCATTCCAATTTCTTTTTCTCTATTTCCCCTCAAGGAAGGTTCCTTGATGTTGGTGAGGGGCTCTTGATTTAGGGAATTGGATCTGTGCTCCAGTTCCCCGAATTAAGCCTGAATGCCTTCCACATATCCCCCCCCCCCAGGCGCTGTATAATCCTCCGGGTTTAGCGCTTCCCCCTTGATTATAATAATAATAATAATTTTTCTCTATTTATTGTTATAACCTGCTTGCTTTTAGCCCTAGCCATGGTTCCAACGAATAAAGGAAGCTCTTCTCGTTATGTAATGCGCGCACACAGTACATTGTCCATAAAAGCTAAGGTGGCTTTGAAGCCACTGTCGGTTGCCATGAGCTCAGTCAGTAATTTTTACAGATATGTCTAGCATATTTTTTTTTTTAGTTTCAAAATGTGTACAATTAATAAGGGTAAAAATTTGCTGAATGTATTTGGATATTTTCTTCTTGGGGTCACCCTACCTCTGTGGGAAATGGCCAGTGGGTTAAAAATAAAAAGTTTTTATTAATATTTTTTTGCCTGCTCTGTAACTATGATGCCCTCTTTACACAGGTATTGTCACACAAAGAAGGTCATACATCGTGATATTAAACCAGAGAACCTGCTCCTCAGTCTGCGTGGAGACCTTAAGATAGCTGACTTCGGCTGGTCTGTTCATGCTCCATCCTCAAGGTGAAAAATAAGTAAAGGCTTAGTGGTCAATCCAGTGGACTTAAGTGCATGTAAATGTTTTAAAGTATGTTGCCCATTGTTTGACAGTTGCCCCCCAAGAAACATGGCTTTTTTTTCTGCATGCAGGAAGTTGGTACACCAAGCATTAGCTAATGTCTTGATATGTTAACTTACTGTCATCCAGTGAGGACAGTGAATTGCAGGAACCACAACATAAAACACCTTCATTTTTCTTTCTAATGGTAGTCTGGAATTTTAACCTCAATTTTTGCATATTTTCTTTTTCCTTGAATGAATGCTTTGCTGTCAATCAAGTAAACTGGACTAGGTTTGCAAGGTAGTAATACACTAAAGTCCTTACCAAAGGCACAGCCATGGGGAAGGCTTAGGCACCCCACAAATGCAAATACTTTCTCAATTAATGGCTAATTTTCAGTATTATATTTACCACTGGCCATGACAGCACGAGAGTTCAAGAAATCTCTCATGTGTACCGTAAAACATGTTTATATTTTTTCCAGCATCTTATGGTTTTTAAGACCCTCCCAGATTGAAGGGGCCTATGCTCAGAGTTTGACGCGGTCATGATAATTATGCGAAAAAATATGATTTTGGGTTTTGTTTACAGAAAAATAGTGCAAGTATCTGGGAACATTTTGGTGAAAACCCCATCGTAATACGATGTTTCTAAAGCAAATTATAGCTGCTTGAAACATGTCAGGTGACGACCTGCCAGGTAAATACAGTGGACCCTCAACCAGCGATATTAATCCGTTCCTGAGAGCTCATCGTTAATCGAAATAATCGTTAGTCAAGTTAGTTTTCCCCATAAGAAATAATGGAAATCAAATTAATCTGTGCAAGACACCCCAAAGTATTGAAAAAAAAAAATTTACCACATGAAATGTTAATTTTAATACACAAACTGAAGAAGACATGCACAGTTACATGACACTTACCTTTATTGAAGATCTGGTGCTAATGGAAGGGGAATCCCCTTCCATTAGCACTTGAGGTAGCAAGTCTTTTTCTGGGGTTACTTCCCTTGTTCTTTTAATCCCTTCAGGGTCCAAGGCCCAAATCTGAAGTGGTGCTCCAGTGTCCAAGAATTTAAAAAAAAAATTTTTATTTTTTCTTGTGAAATGGTAGAGAATCTTTTTGTGAAGGTAATAAAACAAAAAGTACGAAATTTGATGGAAAATTGACGAAATTATGCTCTCGCGAATTTTGATGTGTCAGCGATATTTACGAATCGGCGATTTTGCCAACTTTGGCTCCCATTTTAGGCCAATTACATTATTCCAGTCAACCAAATTCTTAGCTATTTCACTAGTATTACTTCTATTCTATCGATTGAGCACAAGAAATCGCCAAGTCAACTGTTTCAACTACAAATTAAAGTGATCAGAAATTGTTAATTTGGCCAATTTTACACAAAGTTCAAAATATTCCAATTTCCAGATAGGGTCCAGAATAAACAATGTAGGTATTCCTGGAACTAAACTAACATTTCCTCTGTTCATTAGTTACGTTTTGAGGCTTTACAAATAAATTCCATTTTGATTTTTTATTCACATAATGAATTTTTATTCACACCAAAAAATAGAAGATTTACTGTTAGGCAATACTGTAATAATTGTATAAATATCATCACCATATTTGTGAGTGCATATTAGACCCACCAGCTGGTGTGTATTAGACGTGTGAGGTCGTTTGTTTACTCTTGAATATCGGCAAAAATTTAACATTTCTGCTACTTTGAGCTCAGTTTCAAGCCATTTCCAGTGCTAAAGCCAATCAAAATCATCTTTATTTCTGTAATATGTCTTCCATTCTATCAAATGAGACCAAGAAATCGCAAATAGAACTATAAAAAACATAGGAAAAAACACTGCAAAGTCGCTGTTTTAATTGAAAAATCATGATTTCAGTTTTTTCTCTCATTATACACAGCGTGCTGCAGGATCTGTTTTATGTGGTGCACACATACCACATAGATGTATTCTCTCATATCTAGGCCCAAATGTACCACTCACAGTTTATCAGAGTGAGCCGAGCTCATGACGTAGATCTACGGTTTGGATCCTGAACGTAAAGCCGTAGATCTACGGGACGGACCCTCAAAGGGTTAATGCCACTAGGACCAGCTCCAGAGTCACTGGACTTCTGTCGCACAACATATCTGTCCATAGATACCTGTACCTCTCGTTTCTTTATGACTTTCCTAAAGTGGTTCACAACATTGTCAGTGTACAGGTTGCCAACACGGCTTGCAGTAGCTGTCAGGGTGATTTTCATCAAAAAAGGTTTGCACTTCAAGCCACTTTCCACACATTTCCTTAATCTTAGAAGTAGGCAACTTCTTCAATTTCTCTATCCCCTCCACCGAAGCAGTTTCCTCAGGTCTGTCCTCTTGCTGTTCAAGATGATCTAGCAGCTCATCAGTGGTTAGTTCTTCATTGTCCTCCACCAGCTCTTCCACATCCTTCCCACTAACCTCCAACCCCAAGGACTTCCCCAATGCCACAATGGATTCCTCAACTAGCATAGGATTCTCAGGGTTAGCCTCAAACCCTTCACAATCCCTTTTGTCTACACATTCTGGCCACAGTTTTTTCCAAGCAGAGTTCAAGGTCCTCTTAGTCACTTCCTCCCAAGCCTTACCTATAATGTTTACACAATTGAAGATGGTAAAATGATCTTTCCAAAACTCTCTTAGTCAGTTGAGTTTCTGAGGTCACTACAAAGCACCTTTCAAACATAACTTTTGTGTACAGTTTCTTGAAGTTGGAAATGGCCTGCTGATCCATGGGCTGCAGGAGAGGAGTGGTATTAGGAGGCAAAAACTTCACCTTAATGAAGCTCATGTCCCTAGAAAGTCGCTCTGCCAAGTCTGAAGGATGACCAGGAGCATTGTCTAATACCAGGAGGCACTTAAGGTCTAATTTCTTTTCAATTAGGTAATTTTTCACATTGGGGGCAAATGCATCGTGTAACCAGTCATAGAAAAAATCCCTAGTGACCCATGCCTTACTGTTTGCCCTTCACAGCACACACAAGTTAGCCTTGACGACATTGTTTTTCCTGAACACACTGGGAGTTTCAGAGTGATACACCAATAAAGGCTTCACTTTGCAATCACCACTAGCATTGGCACACATCAACAGAGTAAGCCTGTCTTTCATAGGCTTATGTCCTGGGAGTGCCTTTTCCTCCTGAGTAATGTACATCCTGCTTGGCATTTTCTTCCAAAACAGGCCTGTTTCGTCACAATTAAACACTTGTTCAGGTTTCAGTCCTTCACTGTCTATGTACTCCTTGAATTCCTGCACATATTTTTCAGCCGCTTTGTGGTCCGAACTGGCAGCCTCGCCATGCCTTATCACACTATGAATGCCACTACGCTTCTTAAATCTCTTGAACCAACCTTTGCTGGCCTTAAATTCACTCACATCACTAGTTGCTGGCATTTTTTTAATTAAATCGTCATGCAACTTCCTAGCCTTTTCACATATGATCGCTTGAGAGATGCTATCTCCTGCTATCTGTTTCTCATTTATCCACACCAATAAGAGTCTCTCAACATCTTCTACCACTTGCGATCTCAGTTTTGAAAACATAGTTGCACCTTTGGCAAGAACAGCTTCCTTGATTGCCGTTTTCTTGCCCACAATAGTAGTGATGGTTGATTGGGGTTTATTATACAACCTGACCAGCTCAGAGACACGCACTCCACTTTCATACTTAGCAATGATCTCTTTCTTCATCTCCTTAGTAATTCTCACCCTTTTTGCTGTAGGGTTGGCACTAGAAGCTTTCTTGGGGCCCATGGTGACTTATTTTGCAGGTGCAATCACTACAAAGGCTGTGATAATATGAAATGTTCCAGTTGTATGATTGGAAGCGGCCGCGGTGGCTGGCTTGTAAACACTGGCACCCACGGGACAAGTGAGGCGCACTCAGGCCAAAGTGGACGCGTCTCGTACAGAACGAATAGCGCTGGTCGGGTTTTTAAGCGTTAGTGGAGGCAAAATTTTTGCTTTAAAATGTATCGCTAGTCAGATTTATCGTTAATCGATGCCATCGCTGGTTGAGGGTCCACTGTATATGTGTAAGTGCGAGATGATTTTTTTATATATTTTTTGTTTTTCAATTTTCTGATTTTTCTTTTTAATACACTAAATTTACCACTTAATATCATTACAATGTGGGAGGAGCTTGCATGATGGTGCAACAACCAGTTGCCGTGACAACAGTCTGATCACCACTCACAAGATGTGATAGTATGCATAATATAACTTGGATAAACGTATAAGAAAGCTAGCCAAAATAATGTTTGTATATTATACCCGGAGGTGGTGGCTGACCTTGATGAAATGATTACATCAGACCTTCCCTATAAGAGAAGGGTTTTCTGTTACATCTGGTAGCACTACAGAAAACGGTGTTTTTAACACTGGAAACAATAAGAAATCACTTATATCGCATAAATAAACCCAAAGTAGCGCGATTTTCGTGATTTTTTATTTCTTGACGTAATTTGCTAGTTCGCGTGTTTACTCGAATATCTGGAAACTAGGATTTTGGTCTATTGCTTATCACTGCACCATTATTAATGATTGGATTGAAATGATTTTCACAGACAATATAAAAGTGTGTTTGAATATGTTAAAGTAAAATTTTTGGAATATCTCAAATATTTTTTATTTTGTGGGGGGTAAAAGGCAGATATTTTGGTGAATGTCAAAAAAGCACACCGAATGTATTTTTTTTTTTTCACCATAATAATAAGGTATATTAGATGAATTTTATCCATTAAATATTCGTTTTAGACGTATTCTAACAGTTAGAATTGTCAGAAGTGTCACTCTTAGTGCCAATTTGTCATGCCATGCTGCCATATGTCAAAATCAGTAAATATTTTTTTCTCCGTTGTTTGTTTGCCAATCATATTGAAACTGTCATATTCATTTACATATGCACTTCTAAATGTACACCAAAAATAAAAGAAATCGGGCAAAAAAAATAGAGGGGAACGAAAATGACAGCCTGGCACCTGAAAGCCTGGCTTATGCCTACTTCACCCCTTCTCCCTTTCCCCCAGATTGAAATCCTTGTTCTTACACATTTGGTCCATATTTTTAGTTTTTTTTTTGTTTTCTCTCTCCAACAAACCAGCCATATCCCACTGAGGCAGGGTAACCTAAAGAGAAAAAAAATGTTTTTTTAAATTTGGTAATGTATACAGGAGAGGGAGTTACTAGCTCCTTGCTCCCAACATTTTAGTCACCTCTTACGACACACATGGCTTACAGAGAGAATTCTGTTTCACTTCCCCATGGAGTTATATACTGTTGCAAGTATAGATTTCTTCTTTCAACACACCGGCTGTATCCCACCAAGGCGGGGTGGCCCAAAAGGAAAAACGAAAGTTTCTCCTTTTACATTTAGTATTATACGTATACAGAAGGGGTTACTAGCCCCTTGCTCCCGGCATTTTAGTCGCCTCTTACAACACGCATGGCTTACGGAGGAAGAATTCTGTTCCACTTCCCCATGGAGGAAGTATAGATTTATGTATAGTAAATGTAGATTTGTGTATTGTAAGCTTTGGAAACGAAGCTCACACATTACGATTGGCCACGTGATTCTCGGAGAAAGGTGCCTGGCACGTCTTTGCAAAACTGCCAGGTGGCTTTAACAGTTTGCCATATATTACTATCCTTTTAGAGCATGCAGAATTCACTTTTCCCATCTGCAGGGATCCCCACTTTTGATGCTTCCTCTGACCTTTTAAAAGAAACTAATTTGTTGAACTAGTTATGTTAATATTACACCTTCGCTATCTCCCTAAGCTTATAGCTTATAGCTTAAGGGGCTAGTTTGATTCTAGTTTTGGAATATAACTTCACCTTGTCACACTTGCCCTTGCCTGACCTTGCTGAAAGTCACACCAGTGCTGAATAGCTTTTACCAGAGACTAACCTATTGCACCAACTTTGACATAACTTTTTCACTTTTTCACCTATGTTAACTCAAATTTCACTAACCCCTACTCTCGCACATTCAAATGCCTTAGCACTGCATGACCTATTCGGGTTAGCACTTTTCTGAATATATTGCTAAGAATATGTAAATATGATTGCCCGTGGGCTGCGGGGGGCATTGACCGCTGAAACTGGCTCCAGGTAGAGAATAGCTTTGGGGGGGGGGGGGTAGGAAATAGTGAAGGGGATAATCATATTTTTTAATGCAAGTACAAAAATTTGTATTACAGGCGCACAACATTATGTGGCACGCTGGACTATCTTCCACCTGAAATGGTTGAAGGGAAGCCTCATGATGAAAAAGTGGATCACTGGTCCTTGGGAGTCCTGTGTTATGAATTCTTGTGTGGTAAGCCCCCATTTGAAGCAGATTCAAACAGAGAGACGTACAACCGTATATCTAAAGTGGACCTGAAATTTCCTTCGCATGTATCTGATAAAGCCATGGATTTAATGGTGAAGGTAAGACCTTGCATGATTAGTTTAATATAACTGACAACTTTAGTGGAGGGCTTTACACTTTGTGAAAGTCCAACTACCTGCTGTGGATATTTTGCCAGTGTGGTAGTAGGGAAGCCCCATAGCTACTAAATGGAAAAATATGAAATATCTCGTGTCATTCAGAATATCTTCTAACCAGAAAGGTGGGCTAGTGCAAAGATGAGTAGTGGGGGGGGTTGAAGAGGGTTGGAATAGTTTTAAAAATGCAGTATTAGAATGTGGGGCAGAAGTTTGTGGTTATAGGAGGGTGGGGGCAGGAGGAAAGAGGAGTGATTGGTGGAATGATGAAGTAAAGGGTGTGATAAAAGAGAAAAAGGTAGCTTACGAGAGGTTTTTACAAAGCAGAAGTGTTAAGAAGAGCAGAGTATATGGAGAGTAAAAGAAAGGTGAAGAGAGTGGTGAGAGAGTGCAAAAGGAGAGCAGATGAAAGAGTGGGAGAGGCACTGTCAAGAAATTTTAATGAAAATAAGAAAAATTTTGGAGTGAGTTAAATAAGTTAAGAAAGCCTAGGGAAAGTATGGATTTGTCAGTTAAAAACAGAGTAGGGGAGTTAGTAGATGGGGAGAGGGAGGTATTAGGTAGATGGCGAGAATATTTTGAGGAACTTTTAAATGTTAAGGAAGAAAGGGAGGCGGTAATTCATGCACTGGCCAGGGAGGTATCCCATCTTTTAGGAGTGAAGAAGAGCAGAATGTAAGTGTGGTGGAGGTACGTGAGGCATTACGTAGAATGAAAGGGGGTAAAGCAGCTGGAACTGATGGGATCATGACAGAAATGTTAAAAGCAGGGGGGATATAGTGTTGGAGTGGTTGGTACTTTTGTTTAATAAATGTATGAAAGAGGGGAAGGTACCTAGGGATTGGCAGAGAGCATGTATAGTCCCTTTATATAAAGGGAAAGGGGACAAAAGAGATTGTAAAAATTATAGAGGAATAAGTTTACTGAGTATACCAGGAAAAGTATACAGTAGGGTTATAATTGAAAGAATTAGAGGTAAGACAGAATGTAGAATTGCGGACGAGCAAGGAGGCTTCAGAGTGGGTAGGGGATGTGTAGATCAAGTGTTTACATTGAAGCATATATGTGAACAGTATTTAGATAAAGGTAGGGAAGTTTTTATTGCATTTATGGATTTAGAAAAGGCATATGATAAAGGAGGGGTTTGGGATATTGGCAGTTTGGAGGGATATGTTGTGTATCTTTATATGTGTATGCTTCTAGACTGTTGTATTCTGAGCACCTCTGCAAAAACAGTGATAATGTGTGAGTGTGGTGAAAGTGTTGAATGATGATGAAAGTATTTTCTTTTTGGGGATTTTCTTTTTTTTTTGGGTCACCCTGCCTCGGTGGGAGACGGCCGACTTGTTGGAAAAAAAAAAAAAAAAAAAAAAATAGTGGATAGAGGAGCAATGTGGCAGATGTTGCAAGTATATGGAATAGGTGGTAAGTTACTAAATGCTGTAAAGAGCTTTTATGAGGATAGTGAGGCTCAGGTTAGGGTGTGTAGAAGAGAGGGAGAATACTTCCCGGTAAAAGTAGGTCTTAGACAGGGATGTGTAATGTCACCATGGTTGTTTAATATATTTATAGATGGGGTTGTAAAAGAAGTAAATGCCAGGGTGTTCGGGAGAGGGGTGGGATTAAATTATGGGGAATCAAATTCAAAATGGGAATTGACAGTTACTTTTTGCTGATGATACTGTGCTAATGGGAGATTCTAAAGAAAAATTGCAAAGGTTAGTGGATGAGTTTGAGAATGTGTGTAAAGGTAGAAAGTTGAAAGTGAACATAGAAAAGAGTAAGGTGATGAGGGTATCAAATGATTTAGATAAAGAAAAATTGGATATCAAATTGGGGAGGAGGAGTATGGAAGAAGTGAATGTTTTCAGATACTTGGGAGTTGACGTGTCGGCGGATGGATTTATGAAGGATGAGGTTAATCATAGAATTGATGAGGGAAAAAAGGTGAGTGGTTTCGTTGAGGTATATGTGGAGTCAAAAAACGTTATCTATGGAGGCAAAGAAGGGAATGTATGAAAGTATAGTAGTACCAACACTCTTATATGGATTTGAAGCTTGGGTGGTAAATGCAGCAGCGAGGAGACGGTTGGAGGCAGTGGAGATGGCCTGTCTAAGGGCAATGTGTGGTGTAAATATTATGCAGAAAATTCGGAGTGTGGAAATTAGGAAAAGGTGTGGAGTTAATAAAAGCATTAGGGCAGAGGCGAAGAAGAGGGGATGTTGAGGTGGTTTGGTCATTTAGAGATAATGGATCAAAGTAGAATGACATGGAAAGCAAAATAAAACTATAGGGGAAGGAAAGAGGGGTAGGGGTCGTCCTCGAAAGGGTTGGAAAGAGGGGTAAAGGAGGTTTTGTGGGTGAGGGCTTGGACTTCCAGCAAGCGTGCATGAGCGTGTTAGATAGGAGTGAATGGAGACGAATGATACTTGGGACCTGACGATCTGTTGGAGTGTGAGCAGGGTAATATTTAGTGAAGGGATTCAGGGAAAACCGGTTATTTTCATATAGTCGGACTTGAGTCCTGGAAATGGGAAGTACAATGCCTGCACTTTAAAGGAGGGGTTTGGGATATTGGCAGTTTGGAGGGATATGTTGTGTATCTCTATACGTATATGCTTCTAAACTGTTGTATTCTGAGCACCTCTGCAAAAGCAGTGATAATGTGTGTGTGTGGTGAAAGTGTTGAATGATGATGAAAGTATTTTCTTTTTGGGGATTTTCTTTCTTTTTTTTTTGGGTCATACTGCCTCGGTGGGAGACGACCGACTTGTTGAAAAAAAAAAAAAAAAAGTATCCCCACCTGATGATTTTTTTTTTTTTTTTTTTTAAATACCTACCATCCCTCACCAAGGTAGGGTGACCCAAAAAAGAAAAAAACAATTTCATTATCACTATCTTGCCAGAGGCATGCAGACATTACAGCTTGAACACCACTTCAAACTACAACATCCCTACCCCTCCTTCAGAGTGCAGGCAGTACGTCCAGCCTCCAGGACTCGAGTCTATCTGACTTGTTTTCCTGACTTCCTACAGCACATCATAAAAACCAATAGCCTCTACTCCTGTCTAAACCCCCCCCCCCCCCACACACACATGTACAATACATACATACATACATACATACATACATATACATGTATGTTGGATGTCTAAGACTTTCACATGAAAAACCTCTACACCCCCCTCCCTACCAGCCTTTCTTAGGACAACCCATAACCTGTTTTCTCTACAGATTTATGCATCCTCCAAGTCATCTTATTTTGCTCCATCCTCTCAATACCCAAACCACTTCAGTAACCCCTCCTCATTCCTTTGGATAATAGTCCTAGTAATCCCATCCCTAATCTCCAAACCAAATCAGGCAGGTTATTTTCCCTTGGTTCTTTCATAAACTGCTTTGAAAAACAATCTTGATTTATCTCTAGGAAGTCATTTGACTCTAGATTATGGTCAAGGAATTTCAATCAGCTCGACTAAATTTAGTCTAGAATTACTACTTTATCATCCCTTGTAGCCTTTACAATTTCCTCCCATAATAATCTCCCTTAGTGCCCCTCCAAGTATGATTTCTCAGTAATTTTCCATTTGTCAGTTACTCTAACACATTTAAATTGAATATTATTTTATTTAAAAAAAATGCAATGTGTGGTGTAAATATTATGCAAAAAATTCAGAGTGGAAATTAGGAAGGTGTGGAGTTAAAAGTATTAGTCAGAGGGCTGAAGAGGGGTTGTTGAGGTAGTTTGGTCATTTAGAGAGAATGGATCAAAGTAGAATGACATGGAGAGCATATAAATCTGTAGGGAAAAGAAGGCGGGGTATGGGTTGTCCTCGAAAAGGTTGTAGGGAGGGGTTAAAGGAGGTTTTGTGGGCGAGGGGCTTGTACTTTCAACAGGCATATGTGAGCGTATTAGATAGGAATGAATGGAGACGAATGGTTTTTGGGACCTGATTAGCTGTTGGAGTGTGAGCAGGGTAATATTTAGTGAAGGGATTCAGGGAAACCGGTTATTTTTATATAGCTGGACTTTAGTACTGAAAATGGGAAGTACAGTGCCTGCACTTTAAAGGAAGGGTTTGGGATATTGGCAGTTTGGAGGGATATGTTATATATCTTTATAGATGCTTCTAAACTGTTGTATCTGGGTGCCTCTGCAAAGACAGTGATTATGTATGATTGAGGTGAAAGTGTTGAATGATGAAAGTATTTTCTTTTTGGGGATTTTCTTTCTTTTTGGGTCACCCTGCCTCGGTGGGAAACGGCCGACTTATTGGAAAAAAAAATTATTTTAAATGTATGTAATAGGTGATTTGGGTGTAATGTCTACCACAAACATCAAAGCCCCCAAGATTCTCCACTTAGGTCTAATAGCCTGTGCATAATTTACTGTAAAAAAAAATTCCCAGGATGCATCAATCACTAGGGGCATACTCTAGAAACTAGTATATTCCCCACTTACCTTTTTATTTCACTTTCATTATATAGTGTTATATTAGATGCTAGAGTTGTCAGGATTCATTTCCAAATTTGGAGGGGGGGATGGGGTATTGTTTACTGCATGATGCATATAACTCCATCAGTCTTGTATTTTTCTCTTAACAGCTGCTGATGCACAACCCAAGTGAACGCTTAAATCTTGATGGTGTTTTACAACATCCTTGGATTTTAGAATTAACCAAAGATTTTCCCACTCAAACAACCCATGCCCATTAATCAAGTGTCTTCATAGAATGTGAGTTTTGTCCAGTATGTATTGGTGTTTAATATTAAATTATCTGATTTTATTACTTGTTTTTATCACTTGCCATTTATTCCGAAGTGCATATAAAATATTTTATTAAAATAAATGTGTATTATAGTTGCTATTTCTGCATAAAGAACAAAAGGCACAATAATGACTAACAAGACACAAATAACCCGCACATAGGAGAAAGGAGCTTATGACGATGTTTCGGTTTAACTTGGACGTTTATAGTCCCGCCAACAGAAAGGAGACACGGCAGTATACATAGGGCAGCAACAGGGAAGGGATGAGAGAGAAAGGAAGTAGAGATAGTAGTAGTAATGTAGTCAAAGGCCAAGAAAACGGAGCACTGCAGGAGGGCTAAGGGCCCAAAAGGGAGTAGGAACAAACATGGGGAAGGAATGGCAAAAGAAATAAAACCCAAAGCAGAAAGGGAAAGAGGGAGAAGGGGAAAGAAAGAATCAGGTTAAGTCATGAGTGTTCTGAAGTTTGGAGCATTTTATGATGTAATAGGAAAGGAAAGCATCTATGGAGACAAAGCCACGACTATGATTCATAAAAGGAAAGTTGTGTACAAGAGTGGATTCAACCAGACAGTGACTGTGAAAGTTACTACTACCTCTCTACTTCCTTTCCTACTACCTCTCTTGTCCCCCTCCCTGTCTACTGGCCTATATATACTGCCGCCTTCTCCTTTCTGTTAGTGAGACTTTATAAATGGTTCAAGTCGGACTGAAATGTCGTCATAAGCTCCTCTGCTATGTGCGTGTTATTTGTGCATTTCTGCATCACTGACAAGCTAATCTTATTTGTAAGGTTTCTGATAAAATCTAGGAGAGTCATACAGAAAATAGATGTACAATATGTGTTTGCCTAGTTTATTCCAAGTTTCTTTTTTGGAAAAATGGAATGTGACCTTACTAGCTAGAGGTGATTGCCCTTAGAATCCAAGGATTTAGTAATAACTGGTTTTTGATAGATACCATATTTTTGTGGGCCTGATGAGAGTAGCACATTACTGGGGTGATCTTTTTCTTCAAAAATTTTAAATAGCACAAACCTTTGAAATATTATCACTTATCAAAAGATCCCAGTCTAGCTATAACCCACTCTTGACACCCTGTGAAGGAAGAATAATAAAGCTTGGATATTATCAGCTAAAACTTTTATTTTTAAAGGGTTCACTTTAATTGGGTAAAATATGTAACGAAATACTTTGCAAGGCAACATGCAAATTCGTATTAAATCGCTTGCTAATTTGTAGCTGCTATATCTTGGTTTTAAAATGTTTTAAAATTAACACGTGTATAGATGAATATGTGAACTTTACATCTAATTATAGATAGTAGTCATTAAGTACAGTAGTGGTGCTGGAAAGTCACTTGATGCTGAAGCTGACAGTTAAGTCAAAACTATAGTTAACTTTAACATACTTGAAACTTCTAAATTATTCCTACCATTAATTTGTGATGGTAAAGCAATTTGGGAGTAGATATTGACTGATCTAGCACCTAAATGCTGTATCTTCTTAAAATAAGGAAAAGTGTATATTTTTATGAATACTATGACCTTACTATGTATATTATTTTATTCATGGGGATATGCTAATCCCATAGGGGTCATAGTGCCTGAATATTAAGGAAAAATATTTTTATGCATGTGAATACTAGGACCTTACTATGTGTATCCTGTCCACATTTGTGTACTTAGCAATATAAAATATAGTGCAGCAAGTGTGGCACAAAGATATTCATTATCTTTAGTATGAGCCTTGTAATGTGTACTTGTGTAGAATTTTAGTGAAATGTATAATTGTCACTGTATATAATATTTTTTTGGGTGGATTGGGCCTGAGAATTTTGTTTTCATGGAATGACAGAATTTTCAGTCAAATGTTACTTTGGGGTCTACTACAAGTGCCTTTTGTAACAAAATAATTTTTTTAACCAAGTGTAGGATTTGTGAACAAAAGCCCTTTTTATATTTGTTCAGTTTGTGGGGATTTGCTCTTGCTTGTTTTTCACTGTAGAATATTTTTCCTAGATACCCTTTGATGATACCTTTGATTTTTGTCTAGCCATCCACAATTAAATAATCATGGAAGTGTTAAGCCCATAGGGGTTATACGATGCCTGGGAATAGGTAATTGTTTGATGAAAGGAAGGAAAGGGCATTTCCAATTTCTTGGACACAAAGCCTTAGTCATACATAATCCTGCTTTTTGTGTGCTTCAGTTTTTCGAGTTAAAATATTGTATACCACTTTTATAATTATTTTTAAAACTACTGTCTCCTTTTGATTTTTTGTAGCACTAATAATGTGCAGACCAAAAATACACCAGACTATGTTTGTGCTTCATAGTCTTGTTTGCAACCAGGAAGACTTGATCAAACCTAATTACCTACCATTCCCAAGATGCTGATTAACCTCAATAAAGTAATGGTTTCCCTTGAATATTATAGCAGTGTCCCTAGTGAAAATGAAAGTATTTCTTGTGCATTTTCCACTAAGATTATACAAATATTAAATTATTTATAGCTGTTCCTGAGAGTGAACTTGGGTATCTTTTTAACTATGCTTTTGGTGCTTCAGGTTGGTGCCTGGATGAATTAATTAGATTTTCCTCTGAATATTATATTTGTCCTGATTAGCTCATGTTAATACTGAGGCCACGATGTGTTTCATTAATTATTATTTACGTATAGTGTGATTGTATGCAAATATAATAGGCATTAAGTTTTGCTTTAAAAGGCATTACTTAAAAGAACTTAAGATGTATAAAATAAACACGGTGAATAACTGCTGTTTTTTTTTTTTTTACCATGTCATTTGTTTTTAATGTACATCCCCTTATGAGTTTAGCACTTATTGGATTATATTTTTTTGTACATTCCATTAGACTTGTATAAAATATTTTCCCCCTGAATGAGGAAAGTGGGTAAGAGTAAAACCATAATGAACCCTTAAATTTTATGTACTGGTTAACACATCCTAGCCACTGATCCTCTCCAGTTTCCCTTTACTCTTTCACTGTTGAGACCCTTGAAAATAAGTGTTGGCAGTGGTGTGATCTTTCAAAAAAACAAAAATCTGAAATGGTAGAAAATATTTTTTTTTTGAAGGTAAGGACATCAAAAATGCAAATTTGGTAGAAAATTGTGGGACTAGTACCGAACTTGCACATGAAAATCACTCGCTACGAAAGCAAAAGACTTGGCAGACGATGCACCATCCCCCCAATGAAAAGCAGGGGTGTCACTAGCACGTTAAGAGACCATACAATAAGTGTCAGGGGCCCGAGACTGTTCAACTGCCTCCCAGCACACATAAGGGGGATTACCAACAGACCCCTGGCAGTCTTCAAGCTGGCACTGGACAAGCACCTAAAGTCAGTTCCTGATCAGCCGGGCTGTGGCTCGTACGTTGGCTTGCGTGCAGCCAGCAGCAACAGCCTGGTTGATCAGGCGCTGATCCACCAGGAGGCCTGGTCACAGACCGGGCCGCGGGGGCGTTGACCCCCGAAACTCTCTCCAGGTAAACTCCAGGTTAGATAGGTGGAAAAAATGGCACTAGGCACAATTTATGCATTATCAATTTCACCCACTTGTCCTATTTTAAGTTGATTCCAGTGCTCAGTTTGACCCAATTCATAGGTATTTTGCTTTCCATTCTATCAACTGAGCATAAGAAACTTCCCATTCAGCCATCAAAGCCCCTCAAGGGAGATTACTTGATGCTGGTGAGGGGCTCTTGATCTAGGGAATTGGATCTGTGCTCCAATTCCTGAACTGAGCCTGAATACTGTTGATTCCCCCTTCCCCACAGGTGATGTATAATCCCTACAGGTTTACTGCTCCCCCATGATTATAATCAGCTATCAAAGATACCTATAATGTTTGCAGAAGTCTGTAATTAATTTAACCAGTTTTATGAAGTTAAAATTCAAATTTGGTCCAAAATTAACACTAGATATTTCAGCTACTAAAGTATCCTTTCTGTTAATAATATCCCCAAGCCTTTCCTGTGTAACACTTGCTCTCCATTTTGAATTCATAAAAAAAAAAAAAAAAAAATATGCAAGTTTTACTCAATTTCGTGGATACATAAAAAATGATTGGTCATGGTTTAAGCTGTTCTAGTACAGTTAAAAAAAACGGAGGGGGGGGGGGGGTTCCCTTCCTCGGGAAAATTGCCAAAAATTATATTTCTGCCAATTTGAAGTCTTGAGCTACTTCCTGTCTGAAACTATCAAAATCATCACTACTTCACTAGCATGTCCATCGTTTTATCAAGTGATGCCTAGAAATAGCCAATAAGTGCATGACAGGAAACTCCTCCAAGTTGCTTTTTTAAACCAAGCACAAGGTTAGAATTTTTATTTCATAATACAATGCTTTGGGGGGGGGGGGGTTATGCTGTGTACAATAGCTGTATACTTGTTAGCCCTTGTGGTTTAGTGCTCTTTGATTATAATAACGTACACTTCTTTCATGTCTTGGCCAAAATTTACCATTCATGGCATACTTAAGGGTTGTCAGTCATTTATGGATTTAGTGTTAGTTGTGATAATAACGAGGGAGCTCCTCTTCAAGGGGGGCTCCTTGGCGTGGTGAAGAGGCTCTTGGTCTGAGGAATTAGCCCTGTCGGTCTTCTTCCTCAGACCGAACCTAATTACCCCCCATTCTCCCCTCCCCTATCCCATCCTCCCCATCCTCCCCTTTTTCCTTTCCTCCTCCTCCTCCTCACCCCTCCCTTTTGCCCTTCCTCTTTTTAGCCTTCGTGATTTCTCCCACAGGCGCGCTAGTTCCTAGGTAGGGGAAAGGACACCGGGGTCCATCCCATTCCGTTGAGGTTTCTTGGCGGTGGCGTAGTTTGCCGTGGAATCTGGATTGCCTGGGGATGTCCCGATCCCTCTCCGTGTATCCGGAGTAAGCCTTTGGGTGTTTTTGGGCGAAGTGGTGTATCTCTGGAAGCCACCTTCGGATTCGGGGGTGGTGGCTGAAGGAGGTAGCTTTGTGTGCGGATATCCGGCGCCCTCTCTTTTGTCCACCGAGGTTTAGCTCGGCGATGTGAGGTTGGCTATTTCCCAGATTGCTGGTTTACTGGCATGAGGGTAGGGTTATGGCACGGGTTCCTGCTGCCTCTGCGCTACTAGCGGGTGTCATATAGAGGTCCTCTTGGGCGCGGTGGGAGATTTTGGCCCTTTCATTCCTCCTAGGAACTATCCTCCTGGTCCCCCCTTTTTTTTTTCTTTTTGTTATGTTTATTTTTCTTTTTTTCTTTTTTTTCTCTTAAAAACAAAAAGAAAGAAATGAAGTAACCTAACCATGGCAGCCATAGTCATGAACCTGGTTACCCGGGCCCCTTCTTGATACCGCACCCCGTCTGACCCCGCCCCTCGTCTTTGGACCACTCTTCAGGAAATTCCTCATAGCCTCTGTTCCCTATTGCGGTTTGCTGTTTCCTCACCCGCTTCAGGTACTGAGGCCTCGACTGACTCACTTCTGATTAATAGACTTCGTCTCCTCTGACTATGCTTGCGAGCAATTTTCAAAAAATTCGCCGACCCGTTCCACGTTCGGACCAACTCTGGTCCACGCCTCCTAAACGCTAAACGACAATTACCTGCTTGATGATACTTCTCCACCTCACCTGCTCGTTCTTCTCAGAACGATCGACTCGTCCTTCACTACCTTTCTCGCTCAGTTTCAGAATGAACAGTGGACTAAATTCTTTCACTTTACGACCAACTTCCTTACTGCCTTATCTTTCTGACCTTTGTATTGGCCAAAGGCACCCTTCGCATGTTGGGTAAAGATATTTCTTTTCATGCTCTTAAGAGCGGTTACGCGCATTCATTACCGTACAGGAATGATACCCAGGCTCGTGAGCTCTAGCGTCTTTCCCATCTAGATTACTTTCCTGTCACCTTGAATAAAAAAAATACATCATTCCCTCAATTCTTGTGTGGTACCTTTATTCTGCCCCCATACATAGTTCAAACTAAATTTCCAGACATGTGGCACCGACATTCTAGAACAGATGGAACTCCATGATCTCCCAATCCTCAAGGTCTAGACACTTTCGTTCATCCTGCCCGTGGGCGGAGCCGATACCCTAGCAATGTGGCTCGTTTATTTTGACAGCCGAGAACTCCCATCCTCCGTTTTTATGCAGGGACATCGGTACAAGTTCGAAAGGTAGCCCTACACCACAACAGTGTAGAAAGAAATTGCTGGCGATTTGGCCATCCAGCGAATATTGCAGATTATCGCCGAATGCCCAGTCTGTGGTGCCGATGACCATTCTAATACGTCTTCAATTCGATCTCCCTTTGCCTTAACTGTCATGAGGCTCACCCTTCGTACTTCTCGCCGCTGTCAGGTCTATTTAAACGAGCGGGAAATCCGTTACTCAAAGAGACAGAGGTCGCCTTATGCCATGGGCGTTTCTCATCTCCGCCTCCACGGGAGGACTCCCACGTGTTTTCTTATTCCGTGTTTCAAAAACGTCCACCCCACTTTGGTATCCCATCTGCTACACCCACCTCTTGTGGTGACCTCTCCATTTATCACTCCGTATCTATTCCTTTTGCTGTCCTCGGTCAGACGTCCCTAACCACAACGCCTCAGTCTAATCTCGCTTCTTCGAGTTCTCTCTTACAAAGCCTCCGTATCGACGGAGACCTGTACGACACTCTTCCCAATCGTTCCTCTACTTCTCAAAAGCAAAAAAAGGTCCGGTACACTCCTACCCATCTTCCACCTCCTCATTTTACCTCCCTGTCTTTGTCCTTGTTCTTCCCCTCTCACTGGCCTCTAGTTACCAAGTGCAGAGGTTCACCTCCTCCTCGTAATGTACCTATCCTCTCCCTGTTCCCCCCAAGTTTCCTTCCTCTTCTGCCACCTCCCAGTTTCCTGTCTCTTCTGTTCCCTTGCCACGCTTCTCCAGTTCCCTCCACCTTTCGCCCCCCCCCCCCCTACCTTAGGTTACAGTCCAATACAGTTCAATCTTTACTCATCATACCCCTACCATTCCCAATATTGCTCTCCCCATAGAATCTCTGAATTCCGAAACACTTGATGCAATCTTGAATATATTGCAGAGACCAACCCATCAATGGACACTGATCCACTTCCGCTCTTTCTCTCTCCTCTGCTCCATCTGCGCAACTCATTTTCTTCACAGCGCACGTTCCTTCGCTGCTTGAACAATTTTTCCACTGCCTCCGCATGTGGACTTTTTAACCCTTCTAGTCCGTAGGGAAACCCTTACTGCGGATTTCAAGTATCTTTATCATAGCCAACATGGCGTTTTACAGTGGAATTTACGGGCCTCAGGGGTAATCGGGGTGAGCTTCAGATGTTACTCTTTCCAGTTTGCCCCTGTTGGTGTTTGCGTACAGGATCAAAATTACCACTCTGCTGTTATTTCTCACATCTCAGGCTATAATTTATTGTATTCTTTAGATCCTTTTCCTGAATGGGACCTTTATAAAGTGCCCTTCTTCTCCGCACTGTATTCCGTACCATCAGCTATTTATTCATTTTTACTTCGCTGCATTACACAGCAGCCGTATCCACTTACATAGGTGGTATACGCTTGTTCATTATAACTCTCTCTCTCGGGCATTATCTATTTCCGGATTGTGCCTTCCCTTGTTTCATCATTACGCCACCGCTTCTGTTACTTGGTGATGTTAATGCCCACCATTTCCTCTGGGGAGGGATCTCTCTGTGTTTCCCGTGGAATTCGGTTAGAGGCTTTTCTTGCCACCACCCCTCCATTGTTTTATATTTA